AGCTCCGAAAGTCACTCAAGTACTGATGCCTCAGATGACAACAGGGGGCTAAGTCTTGGGAAAAGTGGCTTACTGAATGACAAGTCAGATAGATTCCAGAAGCAGCGCCCCAGTTTCGCGCTCTCTGGTCAGTTATGTATGCCTATATCAGAACTTTTTGAGCATACCTAGTTCTGCGTCCTCTCTTAGAGTATTTTTTATTTTTAATATCGGACCATTCACTTGGTACATTTCCAAACTTTTCGCCAACATTGTCACCCAAATTTGACTTATTAAATTAACAAATGAATGCAAGCCCCTGACCGATTTTCCGTTCAACCTTTGTGGCATCACTCCTCGGCCCTTTTTTTGTTTTATCTTCTAGTAATGCATAACTTTATTTCTACTCCACTTCATAGGGCCATCTGCCTATTCACACGATCCCGTGATCTCATTTCCTCCATTACCGCCTATGCATGTCGCTACAAGTTGGTTTGATGGAGCTTAATCATACTCACAATTAAGCCCTATTCGTTGGGCTTATGACCTTCATTCTGCTCCCCTTCCCCTACCTCGCTTGTCACTTTCTCGCACCTCAGCATCAAAATGACTGTCTAGGAGCCTTCAATCCCCGCCCCCGATTACGCCATATTCGAGGATGTATAGCAAATGATTTCAATATCCACACCCATGCCAGTGCCTGGGATTCTTCCTCTTCCTAGGCACCAAGCCCTTGAGGCTTTAGTCTTAACTGTGTATGTGAAAATGCACCGCCTCCCTTTTCCCCCTCCTGAGCCACCAAAAAGCAAACCCCACTCATCCTATAAGTAGGCACCACTATCTAATCCTAGGATCTTCATGTATATGTTGTCTAATATCCTCCGTGACCAAGCATGTTACTAGATATCTCACATTAAGGCACACACTGATGACCTGCGTCTGGTCCACCTATGTTTTTAACCATTACTTTCATATGCCACAGATGGACCCTCTGTCGGGTAGATATTTTGGCCGGTTCCAGGTTTGACTCTTCTCACTTCAATCGCCTTTTCTTGACTTCTCTTTGTCTCTCACGAGCCCCTCCTTTACGATGTATCTTCGTGTTGTTGCACAGTAGTCTTGGGTCCAGGCATCTTCTTTTGATGTCTTCGCTGAGTCTCCAAGTCTGCCTATGCATTACGTGAAATTATCGCTGATTCTTCTCTCTTTCAATCTTTGGTTAATCAGGTTTCTTTGAAAAAGATGTCCACAGCCTCCCTGATCTTGCATTTCCTAGTGTTTTCCCTATATGAGGGCAGTCTTTCTGTTGCATTTCAGTCAATTGTGTGGCCGGCAAGGGTGATGTGTTCAGCTATCTCCGATCTTCCAATATCCATTTTTCTGCATAGTCGCTGGTGTCCCTTGATCCTTGTGCTGATTGCCCTTCCCGTTTCTCCTATGCATTTTTGTTCATAATCATTGCCGTTTATGTTGTAAACTCCGGAGCACTCCATTTTGTCGACTTCTTCATGTTGTGTGAGCAAGCTGGCGAAGGTTGTCCTTCTCTCAGGATTGTATGAATGTTCAATTTCCCTTGTATTGGTCGTAGCTTACGATCCAATTCGCAGGGTAAATATATACATCATTTTTCCTCTGATCCTCTCGCTTTCCTTTCATGATCTCCGTCCGTTTGTTGCGTCCTCTGGATATTCGTGTCAAGAAACATCTGAGTTAGTTTTTTCACTTCTCCTTCCTAGAACTCAGAATCACTGAGTCGTAGGACTCTTATTGCCATAAGATGGACTATTACGATTTTCATTCCATAAGTGCAACTAGATCGGAAGTTAAGGATTATTCCTGCATGCGGCTACTTTCGGAACAGTTGTTTATTGATTCTCCTCCAAGCAAATGACCTCCACATCTATGCTAAAGTTGACTTTTTCATCCATTTCGTTTATGAAGACTAGGTAATCATGTAATTCCTCTTTTCCATGCGATTAGATTCATCCAAATACCGCACAATAGCTATCGGCCTTTAAATAGGCCGACTAACTTCTAATTTAGTAAATATTCGATTAACTAATTCGATAGTTAAATGAGGTGAAAGGATTGTAGGAGCCAAACAAATAATTATGATAAAGGACATCACAAAGGAGCCGAGGCATACCATATTATGATAAAATGGACTAGGTAATTTGTTCCATTTACTGGCACTAAGAATCATTGAAAGGAAATTTAAAAAAGGTTATCGTAAGCGCATAAAATGCAGCTTTTATTTATATAAATAGGAAAACGCTATCATGATTGGCTTATTTGTCTGAATTTTCTCTTAATACTGGCCAAACGACTTGTCCCAGCAAGTGCAGGCTTGACTAGTGGAATATAGAGAGAAAATGGTGTAGTTTGATAACCAGATTCCGTTCCTGTTCGTGGCTGGCTTACATTTTTCGGCAACTGAGAATTAAAGACGTTTAAGTGCTGCCGCAGTAATTTCGGCAATGGAATTTCGGCTCCGGCAGCCGAAGCCTGATTTTCTGCTAAATACGAGTTGATCAATTGCCTAAGGAGTTCTCGGGCCGATAATGGCTTTAGACCGAGGCGCGATTGACCTAAAGCCCATGGATCTATACAGGCCAATAGTGGGAAGAAAACATTTGAATTTAGCTGAGCTCTCATGTTTGGACTGAGGAGAGGCGAGATTGGACCTGGTGGTCCAGCTATACCAGAAGACTTGTTTTGGGTAACGGATGCGCATATGCGCTGCCTTTGAATGTTTGAACCAAGAGTAGCAAGCCGAATTACGAGAGAATCCAAAAGGGGTTTGACAGCACGCGAAAGCTCAGGTTGATTTTTGGGATCATCCGCCCGCAAAGCTACCCAAGTACGACCCACTCCGGATAGAAGAGTTGACATCAAGTCTTCAGCGAGGCTTATATTACTAGGTGACTCTAGATGGACTAAAACCAAATAAAAACCGAGTATATAACCATGGAATCGCAAAACTTCGAAACAAAATAT